TATATATGTGTATATATGTATTTATATATGTATATATGTGTATATATGTATTTATATATATGTATATATATATTTTTTTTTTTGTGTGTGTGTGTGTTTAATTAATGACCAAATAGAAATTTTTGCTCTGTGAGACTTGACATTTACTGATGTCACATTAAATACTTTATACTGTGGAAGGCTGGGAATATCAAAGCTCCTGTGAGTGTTCATTCTCTGTCCCTGATGTTTTTTTTTTTCTTCTGTATGTCCATAAATCAGAGATTAACACAGACTTTCAGACTAGTATCTGCTGGAAGATTTTTTTTTTTTTTTTTTAAGAATTCAAGCCTGATGTGACGACCACCAGTTCTATTTCCAACCTCATTTACAAGTCCTGGACTTTATTAATCTTTCCTCCCTGCCTTCACAAGCCTGTCTTTTTTATACATAGTATTTCTGTCTCCTCTCTATAATTACCCTTTCCCTTTTTCATCCCTTCTTTTTTTTCCTCACCAGCTCCCTCACATTCAACCCTTTTCACCTCTCTCTTCTTCATTCCCCTTCTCCTACTTTGCAGCAGCGCAATGTCATCAGGGGGCATCAAATAAAGGGCCGGCCAGGGTCAGGGGATTCATTTAAAGTAAACATGAAATTTGGTGTGGATCCTGTAAGGGCGCATTAAAACACTGCTGCAGATGGCCTGTCTCCGGGGCGTCCCTGATTCCACCCAGTGAGCATGTGCCAACACTGTCAAAGGTGTGTTGTTATCACCTGTGTCCCTGTTACTGCACCTTGGGGAAGAGAAGGCTGTATATTTATCAGCACTGCTAAGGGAAAATACTGGAGAGGAAGGAAGAGGGTAAATGGAAACTGCTTTCCCCTCTGGGGTGGATGGTGACGGATGATGTTGACAGATAACAAGGGCAGAGAGTATCTGAAAAAAAAAACAAAAAAACAAACTGGATCTTGGCCGTGTGTTCGTTGTTAGGTGCTGTATATAATTGCTCGTCCTTTTTTTTTTTTGTCAGCGTATTTTATCATCACTCCATTTTCTTTTTCTTTTATCCACTTTAAATGAAACAATTTAAATTAAAAAATTCCTTTATAGATGTTTCTATTCGTTGTAAAAATCACAAGTTGCCTTTTCTCGTTTGTGCCAAGACAGCCGTGCTCACAAATGATTCACTGTTTGGAATTAGCTTCGCTTGAAAACCTACATTCTGCCAAATCAATCTGTCAATTAAATCAGGTTTTTATAACTCGGGTTCTGATCCAGTGCGACTCCGACTGGGTCTCGGTTCCCAGGCGAAGGCCGGATTTCTAATTGTGGTGTTATTCTTAGACGGGTCATCCTGAGAATCAGCTCTTCCTGCTCTGTCATAACAACAGTCATCCTCCTCCCACTATTTCCCTCATTAGCAGCCCTGTTGACCTTTCCACACAGAGCTCCTTTTCAGCCGTACTGTGCAGCCATCGATTGGCTGATTCATTTAGCCGGGATAACAGGTTGGCCGTGCTCCTCTCCCCGTCTTGTGTTTATGACTGGGGGTAATATTGTATAGACTGGAGATAATGGAACAACCACTAAAGCATGTGCACTTATCAGATTCTTACTGCTAGTCATTTCAAAGGCCTTTGTGTTTTGAAAAACGAGCTGACTGTGCATACATGTATATATTTATATATATAAATATATATAATAATATATTATATACAGTATATGTGTGTACATATGGGTGTTTAATGTGTGTGTCTATATACTGTATGTATATATGTATATGTATATATATGTATGTATATATGTGTATATATGTATATACATATGTGTATATATGTGTGTATATACATATATGTGTATATACATGTGTATATACGTGTATATACGTGTGTATATACATATGTGCATATACGTGTGTATATACATATATGTGCATATACCTGTGTATATACATATTTGTGCATATACCTGTGTATATACATATTTGTGCATATACCTGTGTATATACATATTTGTGCATATACCTGTGTATATACATATTTGTGCATATACCTGTGTATATACATATATGTGCATATACCTGTGTATATACATATATGTGCATATACCTGTGTATATACATATTTGTGCATATACCTGTGTATATACATATTTGTGCATATACCTGTGTATATACATATATGTGCATATACCTGTGTGGCACGCCACCTTAAAGATTTAAGGTGGCATGCCCAGATACCTTAAAAGTTTGTCTATTGTTGCATATGTGAGTACACATACAGTGTGTACAATATGTCTACACAGTATGTGTACACATGTAAATACACATGCATGTGCGTAAGAACTTTATTTCTTCCTCCCTGATGATTGTGTGTGTATAGTTCCACAATTAATCAAAATATCCGACAAGAGAAAAGTTAGTCGCGCCTTTAATGGGATACGACATCTGGGGCCAAGCAGTGACTCAACCAGAATCAATAGTAGATGGCTAAGTTGCAGCCAAAACGGTCGCAGATAATGATGACCAATAATAAAGTCTTTGGAAGGAAACCTATTTGAAGTCGGCGTCGGAAAAGCAGTATCATAAAAGCTCCGTTTGAAAGTGCTCACAAATTAGACGGACCGAGTTGAGGAGAAACCTCTTGGGAAAAAATGAGTTTTCCTGACAAAATACAGCTGCTCTGTTCGCTAACGTCTGTTTTTCTATTGGTTTTTTTGCAATAACTGGACTCCTTTCACAGCATCAAACAGGTAGAAAAGATATCACCAAAATATCAAGGAAGGGGTGGGCAATAAAAAAGGTTGACAGGCCCAATTTGATCTGCGGGCCCTATTGTGGGCAGCCCTGCTCTATATTTTGCATCAAAGCAGACTTTTATCCCCTGTGTCACAGCCAATCTTTTCTCCACTTCCTCTCTGTCCACAAAATTGCCTGTTGCCTGACCACCGTCGTATGGTTCGTCTCCTACTCTGCCCATCTGCGATTTTCTTTTTTTCTATCTTGTTGCAGACAAATACTGATTTTAACTGCAGCTTTGTCTGGTAACTGTTGCTAATTGCTCGATAGCATTTCGTATTTATTAGCAGCAGTATGCCGGTGTTTATTTCTGAGTAGGAAAATCGGTGAACAACGATGGGGAAAAATGTGTACGAAAAAGAGGACCTCGATCCTTATTTTTGTCCCATATGCACATACTGCTTATTACCCTTATTATCCGCTCGGAATTTTTGCCGCCTTTGCTGAATTCCTCATTATCTGGACTCGCTCGTGTAAACAGGAAGTGAGCAGCAGCAGCAGCGTCCGATTGTGTGCCAATTTGTCCTTCTGTCTCCCTCTCCCAGGCTGTCCTTGCTCGAGGAGTGGCGCGGGGTCCGAGATGAAGCCCTGTCAGAGCTCAGCGGGATTAAGGGTTGCGTTTTCGTCCACGCCGGAGGATTTATTGGCGGCAACAAGACCCAGGAAGGAGCCCTGGAAATGGCACGGAGAACCCTGCAGGCCGCCGCACCTGCCCCTGCCCCTGCGAATGGAAGCAGCTGAGTGGACAGCCAGCGGCACATCCTGTGTCCTCCTGGGCTGTCTTTAGAGAGGATAACAAGGATTTAAATGTTATTTCACCAGGTTGCGGCTTGTTTGTTCCAGACAGGAATAATTATAGTTTTTTTTTGTTCTGTTCTGTAGAGAGATCATGTCACACCGGTGTCAAAACACTTGGGGTTTTTTTTTCTCATCCATTTACACCTGACATTCAATCGGTTTGCAATAAAAATGCATTTTAATAGTAGCTTTTCATATCTTACATCTTCGTCGCAGTTCCATCTGTGGAGGCTTTTCTCAGAATCCTGGTACAACTATAGTCTAATAGCAATTAGAAAAATCCGCTAATCAATTTTTCCTAATTTTGTTTAAATTAATTTTCACATTTTGTTATAGATAGATATAGCCTGCAGGTGGCGCTATTTTGTTTTTCTCGTGTCACGGAATTGTCAGTTTTGAATGCGGGGCGGGTAGTTATCCGATCTGATGCCCGGAATCAGTATCAGTCCAATATTGGTCAAAATCCAATCCGATACTTTACCCAAATTAACCTAGCTTAGCCTAGCTTTGCGTTGTGTGCTGCTAACAGGTATGCTGTTTCTACAGCAACGGCAGCCTGCTGGGATACAAAAACAGGTATCAGATTAATAACGATATCGGCAAATACTCCATGTTGCAGTATAAGTATCTATCGGCAGATACTCCATGTTGCAGTATAAGTATTGTACGTAAAAAAAGTTGTATCAAATACAGTCGACCACGTTTGTTCCAAAATAGTGTTTATACCTATGCTGCTGCCGAGTCATTACCGTCGTTTCATCCTACAGATAACGGTTCCATACAGTGTTAAAAGCCAGTGTCATGTCAAGGTTACCTCCACCGAGAGTCAATTTCCCTGTAATAAAGTCTAGGGATGTGCCTTGAATTTTCTCATTAATATTGAAGATTTTTTTTAAAGCCCCCCCTCTGTGTTGATCTACCTGATAATTCCTCCCTTTATTTCTCAACATTCTGCTCTGGTGCTGCTGTTGGCCTCGGTGACACAGAGCTGTAGACATAGAGATTTCATGCCGGTGCTTTTCCCTGTTTTAGTGCCGGTGTCACATATGCTGCAGTAGACGAACGGTGGAAAGTGTTTCCTGCTCGGAGCAGCTTGTGGGTTCATGTCGTTGTTTGTCGTGACTTAAAGTCATGACATCGTTTTTGTAAACAGGAAACAGGAGCACACCTAGTCCCTAGTGTTATTTGCGTTAATGCCGGGGTGTCAAACATGCGGCCCGCGGGTCAAAACGGGGCCACTTTGGGTTTCAGTCTGGCTTGATAAATTTTGAAAAAACACTTTTTTAAATTATATTTTATTATATATTATAATTAATTATAAAATATTTATAATAGGATATAATTAAGATTTATCTAATATATTGTTATTTATAGGTAAATGTGTTGTGATCCTTCTGGTCCGGCCCACTTGGCATCTAATTGGGGTTGTATGCGACCCCTGATCCAAAATGAGTTTGATACCCCAGGTGTCTGTCGAATCGTATCCACGTTTGCCGTTGCGCTGCTATGTCGCACGGTTCGTTTTTTTTGTCATCGCTCCCGCTATTATGAGAGATTACAGATGATAACACCAATCCCCCCCCCCCCCCCTCCGTCTTCTCCTCAGAGATTGGCACCAGAGAGGATTTGCCTTTGCCTTCGCCTAAGTGCTGTAATTGCACTTTGAGAGACAGTCGGAGAAACATCCAGTACATAGGAGGAGAAAATGAAAATGGAAGACTTGCATGTATTGACCTGAGACTCGAGCCGCCACGTTACGCCTCACGGGCAGAAATCTGGGTTTCCTCGTGATGGAGTGAACGTGTCTGATTGCGCTGCACGGGAAATTACGGGAGGTTTGAGCTCGGTTTGGAAACCACTTTGGTACATCCTTTTTTTTTTCTCTCTCTGACTAAATGCAGCCTAGAGCAGATTACACCAAAATACCTACAAAACAAATATCAAAACACATTTATTAAGATTGATTTTTTTTTTAATTTTTTTTTTTTCATAGTTTATGCTTTGTGTTTCTGGCAAAACAGCCAGAGAAGAGAGCCTTCTGTGCCGGTCCTTACTTGTGAGCGTGTGTACACTCCAACCCTGGCAAGTCTCCCTTAATCACACTGGGGAAATGGCTAGTGAGAGCCTCAGCAGAACAGCCGCCCTCGGCCTGACCTGTTGTTAGTGGATTCGGTCCCCGGAGGAAGACCGGCTAGTTATAGGCAGGAACCCATTTGTTTGGCACAAATACCTGGGAACACACAGGAATAATTTGGCACTGATCGCTGTTTATTTTATCTTTTGCTGGAGACCAGCAACTGTTCTTCATTTCTGTTTGTCGACAAACAGATAAATAACCTTGATCCATGTGTAAATATTCAATACCGTACCAACTGGGTACTGTAGTTTTTGACCTGAGACATTGGACACTGCTGTCTGGATGCTACTCTGAACTGCTGTCTTCAGATCTTCACGTAAAACCTGTTTTAATTGGTTGCGAAGTTTCGTTTTGTTTCGTCGGAAGTTGCGATCTTTACGTCCTTTAGATCAGTGCTTCTCAAACTTTTTTTTTCTAGCTCCCTTAGTTCCACCCTTGTAAAAGTGAAAATATGAATTCCCCCCCCCCCCGCGTACCGCTAGAGAGCGCTCACGTACCAGTGGTGGTACGCGCACCACAGTTTGAGAACCACTGCTTTAGGTAATACATCTGCTGTTTTTCGTGATTTTAGAAGTTTCATGATTTCCAGTTTGTCCCGTATTTCTAATTATTGTCACACTTTTAGTTGTGAACACAAAACTTGTTGTTTTTTTTTTCTAATTTTAATCAACCGTCGGTTTACAGTTAACCCCTCGTTGTCCGTTATTAACAAAATATTTCTCTATCTATCTGTGTCCACAGAAGACAGGCTAAACGTGAGATAATTTTAAAAAAAAATTCTGGAAATGAAACAAAATAATCTGTAATCTGGTAGTGCACATGGACCGTGATTTATCAGGGAAACAGACAAGGCAGGACCTGGGCCGTCTAGCACTAAAAAAAAAAAATTGCTTTTAAAGTGCCAGATCGTTCCCTTGGCGAGGTCTGCACCGCCGTCTGTCGTGACCTGTTCTTCCTTGGTCTCTGTGAATTCTCAGACGGTGAGTGTTTCATAAGAGACTGGAGAGGTGCAGTGGTAGGACGTCTGAGGAAGGGACACTCGAGACGGACAGTCTTTCTGTCTCTTCTGTAGATTTAACCAATCATTTGTTTTGTTAGACTGTTTCTTATTATACATTTTGAAAAAAAAAAAAAAAATCCAAATGCAGAATTTAACAACACCACCAGAGGCTGCTATTTCTTCCGCAGTGGACGTTTGAATATTAGTTGTTTAAGCTCTCACAGATGAATGCTTATCTCACGGTGGCTGCTGCAGAAGCAGAGAACGAACGGGTTTTCAATAGAGTTTGAAAAAAAAAAGCATGTCAGTGGTCGAAACGGACAGATGGTGGCGCACTCGGATCCACATAGAAAGGGAAAAAAAAATCCGGGAGGTAGAGGTAGAGTGAGAGAGAGAGAGAGAGGGAGAGAGAGCCTGGATTGTTCCACCACTCTGTGTGTGTGATTACCCTCAGACGGTCGGTGCTGGAGCCGCGTCTACGGACGACCAACCATGGAAACGCAAGTGATGCATTCGGAGCTCGAGCTTCTGTGTGGAGAAGAAGAAAGCACCGGTTTTTTCCGCCTGACTTAAACACCTCAGCAGGAGCTGGGAGTCATTTTTTTCCGACTTATTGGATCTTGATCGTAAAGGTAAAACGCTTTACCAAACTATTCCAATACGTTCTGAATGGATCGATTAATCGATTCCGTCGGTTCGATCTAGTGCGTCTTTTAGAATCTGTGAAACGCCACTCTCTTATTTGGACATTTTATTTTCAAAATGTAGAGATTGTTTAACTGAAATTTAAGGTTACTTTTATAAAAAAAAAATAAAAAAAAATTCCGGCCGTAATGTGAAGCGATAATAACTCATCCTCACCGTAACCGATATTTTAGTCAGTTACTCAGCGACTTATTCATTTATGATAATTAGCCAGCGTGCGTTCGTCTCTATTTAGCACCATCGTAATGAACAGCTGTGTTTAGCATCAAACTCGAGCTTCAAGTGCACACTTTTTTTTTTATAGCCCAAAGCTGATTCATAAGTTCCATCTAAATCAGGGATATCCAACCCCCAGTTCGCGGACCGATAATATGGCAGCAGTGGGACACAGTAAAAAAAAAAAAATGGCATTACTTCAAAATAATATTATCGAGACTCCAATACTAACAGAAGTCTATAAAAAAATATATAATTCAACAACCGGTCTGCAGTAGCTGTCGGTACTAGCCGATCGGTCCTGGGTACAAAAAAGAGCTAAATCGTATTCCGCAAACATGACGAGAAAACCCTGAAAACATTTAATATTCAGAATCTGATTCTGGATGTCTTGCTGCTTGTTTGGCTTTGCTTTGAGTTTTTTTTTTTTTTTTTTCCCTCCCCTCATCAAGTGAACACACCCAGGAGTTTGCCAGGTCATAATTTCTGTTTCTCCGGTTTGGTTTCTCTTCCGCATGTCCTCATTTATCATGATCTGTTTTTCATCAGACGCTCTTATTTAAATGGCACTTTTACACCATCCCTGAGTTTTCCTTTTCCCCCTGTCTGACAGCTCTATCTGTCTCCGATCTGCCGTCCCCCGGTACGGCCAACATTTCTTTAGCTCAACCATTTGAACCTCATCGTGAGTCTGGAATCTAAAAATATTCTCCACCGTAACTGTTTCTTTGTCCTGGTCATTTTTTTTATGTAGACTAGTGGTCAAGGCCAAGGACACACAAATAAGGAGTGGGATGTACTGCTATATACAGCCTACCTCTGACTGTGTACATAATATGACATGTATATGTACTTAGTACAATCATAACATCCTTACTTATAAATAACAACAATTCCGTGTTTTTCACGCAAATAAGTACATTATAAAATATTCATATTTAATGAAATATCATTCGACAAATCATCTCCGACATGAAGTGTGCATCGTTTCATTTGAAAAAGTCATTTTGAAAAAGCGGGCCGTACTGAACCCCCAAGCGGGCCGGTTTTGGCCCACGGGCCGTATTTTTGACATCCTCGCTGTAAAATATGGTCTGCCTCCGTTTATTCATTCATCAGTAGATATTGGCTCAATGCTGATGTGTGTTTAGAGATAATTTTTGATAAAAAAAAATAAAAATTCAAGAAAAATTTGATTTAAAGAATTAAGTAACTTTTAAAACTTGTACACCCACCCCCTCCAGCTAAGCCCCTAGGGGTCAGTGTTGAAGAGCTCTGATCTTCACCAACCCGATCAATCCGAATAAATATTCCTTCGTGTCTCTCTCTCTTCGTCCCCTCAAGCACAAATGTTTGCTTTTATTTATAGATTAAATTAAAAAAAAAAAAAAATCAAACGTCATAGCATGTCTCACAGCTATTTCATCAATCTTTTTGCAGCATTTATTCCATTTACCACCGCCACCTTCTTCCCCCACCGTCTGTTCCTTTGGACGGTTGATATCTGAGGCATAGATCCGTCAGAGCTAGACCTCACACACACAATATATAATGAGGAGTTACTGTAGATATAAAATATTCATGTTGTTTG